TTGAAGAAAATTTTGGAGAAGAATCCCAAAATTTCTGAGTTTTTTTCTAGTCAATTTTTTTTTAATAAATAAATTCCATATTTTTTTAAAGAAAATTTCTGTTATTAAATGCAAAATTTCAGTTTTTCAAACTCAAAAATGTTCATATTTTTAAAGATTTTTTTTAGATTAATTTCATAATGTCTGAGTTTTTCCTAACAAATGTTTGACTCTTCAAATGCTGAAATTTCCATGTTTTCTTCTAAAAGATTTCTGGAAGTAATCCCAAAGTTTCAGATATTTATCCAGCAGAATTTTTACAGTAGTTAAAACCGAGGCAGTAAAAGTATGTAGAAACTGTTTATTTAATTTAAAAGGTTGAAAGCAGAGTGCAAACTGAAATGTTTTCCAGTCAGAGCAGACGTTAGCCCTCAGGTCGACATGCTGCCGATTATTTTCAACAGCGCTAAGCACGTGTCGCTGCAAACATACATAAACATGGGAGGGGAGCCCTGAGTGGAAAAGTGGTGTTGACACAGTGAGGTGTGGAAAATATAAACCTCAACTCAGAGCTAAATATCCACCAGCGACAGTCTGTCATTTCATCCAAGGAGACGATGACAGAAACTGACGGCAGACGAGCGGCGGAGCCTGTTTAGATGCTGCTAACCCCAATTATAGTTATATAATGGTGCAAAAAACAACATAAATCAAACATAGGCCAAGTTTATAAACGAGTTTGTGGATTAAAAGTCTGAGAGCAAACATTTAAGCCAAGGATCTGAACCTGAAATTAATAACTGACTAAAATGAGCTAATAGTTTTAACAGCTGGTTTTCCAGCTCAAATTTAAGGATTTTAAAGACATTTTAAGACCACTATGAATGAAATTTAAGACCTGCATCACAACAGAAATGTACAAAAGGAAACTGCTTATTTCATACTGTAGAAATGTTTAATCTTTTTTTACAGGATGCAACAGAAGGGAGCCGGTGGCAAAGATGAACCGATACTGACAGACGTAAAAAAAAGCTCGCTAGCGAACGGCATTAAGGCGTCTGAAATGTTTGCCTGACTAAAAAATGTCCAGCGAAAAAAACAAACTGCACAGGATTTAAGACCTGTGATTAGCATATTTAAGGCCAACTTACACTTTTCTATTTAGTTTAAAAAATTTTTTTGTTTTTTTACATAATTTTCTACAAATATAATTATCCCACAGAAGAAAATGTATTCATCATTTTTCTTTTTTTAACACCTAAAAATAGAAATGAAATGGTTAAAATAAAAATGATCAACTGCAGAAATCATTAAATTTACAGTTAAAAATGAGATTTGGTGCCAAAAATATCCTGGAAATATTTGGAAGATGCAGAAGCAGGAAAAAAAACACATTTAGAGATAAAGATAAAGAGAGATAAAGGTTTTTACATCTTCAGCTGCTGCCTAAATCTGTATTTGTTCACCAGTAAATGAACTGGGATTTCCTCCAGTGAGGCAGGAACTGGATAAAAACATGGATGCTTATCTACAGGAAGGGCTTGTGCTGGATTAAAAAAGATGAACGACGGGATCACAATGGGACAAATGAGCAAAACGAGGTCAGGGCGCCGTCATTACAGGAACCAGAAAAACTTCACAGAGATCTATCTGTCTTTGCCAACGCAGCTCTGGGCTGCACTGGGTGGTCTGCGGTTATATTCCTGTATCATATGTCTATGTTTAACAGGAGAGCGTTCTATGTAATGGAGACCTGCGACTTTCTTACAAGGGGAAAATCCAGCTGCAGCCGCTGTGAGCGAGCCAAGGTTTCATCCAGTCGACACCTGCATGCTAACGGGCCGCGGTGTCCAGAACCGCTAATCCCATCAGGCCAGACAGACACGGCTAACTTTAGCACAACGGGACGGAGTTCACCTGAGACCAGGCGGCTAATACGGCGGCCTGCTGGGGTCAATATGTAGAGAGAATCAAAAGCAAAAAGGACCAGAACATTTCTGCCAAAACACTCAAATTTTAGAGAAAAAAGCAGAAGTTTGGACTGTAGAAACTCAGGAAAGTCCACGTTTTTTCTAGAAAATTTATGAAATTAATCTGAAAATTTCAAAAAAATTTCTGAAACGCACCAAAATGAGAGCCAAAAATGGATCTAAAGTGGAGGATTATGTAACACTGAAAAAACAAAAATAAAGGTTAAAAAAGACCTTTTTTTTCTCTGAATTCGACGGCTCGGCTCTTTCAGGTGAGTGAGAAAACGCCGGCCGTCTGAGGCGAGTCGGTACCTGGTGAGTGGGAGGATCAACTTTGCGTTTCTTCTTCTGGTTCTGCTTGTTGGTCCTGGGATAGACGGTCAGCGCGTCCTGCCACCTGACGGAGCCAGAAACACTCGGCTGTTACAGGCGCCGAACCTTCACCGCAGGCACACACACACACCGACTGACTTCACACACACCGACTGACTTCACACACACCGGCTGATTTCACACACACCGACTGACTTCACACACACCGGCTTATTTCACACACACCGACTGATTTCACACACACGACTGATTTCACACACACGACTGATTTCACACACACCGGCTGACTTCACACACACACACCGGCTGATTTCACACACACACACACAGGCTGACTTCACACACACCGGCTGACTTCACACACACACACACCGGCTGATTTCACACACACACACACCGGCTGACTTCACACACACCGGCTGACTTCACACACACACACACCGGCTGATTTCACACACACACACAC